TGAGTGCTCTTCAGAGTTGACACTCTTCGATGAAGCGTCGTCCATTCTACGTTTCACCTCGTTGGCCACTCTCCGGCCATCTGCTAGCAGATTGTAGAACATTCCCCTCAAATTGTTGGATCCGCCAAGCTGTTGTCCAAATTCGCGTTCTGTGTGGAATGAACGAGCAAAAATCTCGGTGAAAAACAGCTCGTATGTCTCATCAGCAAGAATAACCATTCTGAATGTCGCGAGACTCATGTATGTAGGGTGGTCTGGGTCCAAGGCTGCATTTGCTTTGATAGCCCTCTCTTTCTTGAGCTCAGCTTCATCCTCATCTAGCTCAATCAACGGCTTTTCAGGATCATCGGCTGGCTGTGCGTATTCGAAAGCGCATCTTAGAAAGGTGCTTGCGGAAGAGAGATACCGCTCTGATTGCTCTCTTTCATACTTCTCTCTGTCTATTCTGACTTCAGAGGGGATCTTGATATCCTGCTTGGTTCCGTCTTCAGACTCATTTTGCTTCTGTTGTTGAATGATTCTGTCGGCAATTGCAGACTCGATCTCTTTGTTCGTGATCGAATCCAGCAGGAGACCCTCTCTCCATGGAGTGGTGAGATAGAGCAGGTCCTCCGAGACGTTAAGCATTCCCTCTCTGTCGATTTTGCCTGTTTTCTGTGTGTCATAGAGATCGAAGAAAGACGAAAGAATGCCCATAAGATCGCGGTTCACCATTTTGTCAAGACCAACAACCAGACTTTCAAAAGTGAGCAATCCAGAGGCATCGCACCAATGGCTGTAAAGGCGTTTCAAGAAGCTTTCCTGGTTCGGAAGATCGGCATCGATGGTGACCCAATCGGTCAGTTCGTTCAAGAACTTGACAAAAGAAGTAAAGTCCATCTCGGTGTCACCGGTGCCGGTCTTGATGTTGTTGGTCTGGAGAACGCCATAATAGAGGTCATAAACATTGGAAAGTTGACTTGGGTTCAAATGAGGAGTTCTTGGAAGGTTTCTCAATTGCGCTCTCTTCACAAATGTCTCTATTCCTTGAAACACCTCGTTTTTGTTCTTGGCGCGCAATTGCTCGATGCTCTCATCGGTCACGACTCCGAACTCCCTAAATGCCACAAATAGAAGACGGTCAAAGTTTGTAATGCTTCTTGCCCTGATGTCTACCGCATGAGGGTTTTCGTACTGATCAAGCGACTGAAAGTACTCATTGAAGATGGCAATACACTCCCCATCATCCTCTGCTATGAGAAGCTGCTCACCGCAAATTCGAATGATGGCCAACCCAACCTGGAACAATGCTTTTGGACCAATCAGAAAGAACACATCGACGACCCGGAAGGCGTAAATCAACGGCATCGTGTTGAAGAAAAAGGACAAAAACCACGGTACAGAAACAATCGAAAGCTGGATATCGTGTCTAGTGAAATGGCTCCAAACCATTGGCAGAGTCTTCTGAACCAATCCTTCAAAAACCTTCTGATCAAGCAAAACACCATACATTGTTTTCGAGTAGTATCCAGGTATTATCTTCTCACAAAGCACAGACATAATCCAGAACGCTTGCTCTTCCGAACAGTAGATGAGCAAGGCTGCTGCAACAATGTTCATGGCCTGACAATATCCAATCTCTGGGTTCTTCCATGAATAAGCTGTCAGAACCCTTCTGAGTCTGTTGATACCTTCGTCAGTCTGATAGGCTGGGTAATCGGGAAGCGACCGGTTCAAATCTTTCTCGATCTCCTCAATCGCCAAAGACTGTCTTCCGCTGTTATCCACCAAGATCTTGTTGTACACGTCTTTCTGCGAAAACCTCAAATACATTGAGCCAGAACACACCTCCCAGATCTCGCCTCTCAATCTATTGGGTAGGCCGAACCGGATCAGCATGTAGAATGTTTTGTCTTTGGTAAGCGTAAGATTGCGGCCGTGAACGCGAAAGTAATCAAACCAACGTCTCATTTTGGCCTTATCCTTAAGTTTCTTGGAGTCTCCCGGGAACTTGAAGACCCATCCGAGACCTCCGCTTGGCGGATTGGAAACTTCCAGACTGGAACTGCGATTCTTGAAGAGCAGGTACTCCGAATAGAGCGAAAGAAGGAACGGCTCCAGATTTGGGACATTCGGTAGATTCTGCTTGAGCTTTGTTTTCAACTTGAAGGAGAGTTGTTCCGAGTGCGATCTCATTCCTACGAACTGAATATCTATTCTCAGGTCGCTGCATGTAATCAAAGATAGAACAAATGCATATGACCTAGAAGGAACCCTTTCGAGTTTCTTGATAGTCGATAAGCTGATCGTGAAAGAACATGATTGTCTATCATATGCATCTCGGAATAACAAAAAATGCTCCGTGAGGTAGATATTGCCGGAATAGTACGGTATTGAACCGGGCTCTCCTGATCTGTCTCGCTTGGGCTTTGGTGTATATGGAGTGATAATGCTTATCTCAGCAGCAGATTCGTCCACGATGGATTCGTCATCAGGAATTTTGAACTCAAGACGAATCCTCTCATCTCTGCTGAGCTTCACGGGTGCCTGATCTCGGTCGAAAAAGGGTAGCTGGGCTGCCTTATTCAACAACGTGTTGAATAGAGCCATACTTTGGTTGGTGCAACACCTTTGCTATGTGATTAATTGCCTGAATCAAGATGGTATAGAAAATGAGGGCTCACAATTATCACTTTTCTTTCGCAATATCACAAATCAAACACTTTGTTGTTGGTTCCGGTATGGCTCCAAGCCTCCGTGTCTGCTGGTCCTGAGACTGAATGCGGTTATAGGCCATGTGCTGAGGTCGTGTTCTTGCGAACCCGGCCGTTTTGGGGTACTTCCTTTAAATCCGACCGGGACTACCAATAGAGTGCTAAAAATGATAAATTTCCTTAAATAAAGCCCTGCTAGTTCTCGTTGTCAACGTCTTCAACGTCATCTACCGCCTCGAAAACGGTGTTGATGTCAACCGGCTCGGTTCTCTGACTGTGATGAGGCTTGTGCCGGGCAGCAGCACTAACTGGTTCCAGCAGAGCAGGGTCAAACTTGGTGTGAGCAGGCCTGTGATGATGGCTATATATATGATCATGGCCATGCTGAATTATCCTGGTATCCTCTTTTGTAGGCTTTGCTCCTAAATCGTCAAACTTTGTATAAGAGTTGTAGTCCTTAACCTGGGGAAGGGCAACAGCGGTCCTGGTGGGTGTATGTTTGACCAGCTTATTCCCAATGAACTTTCCTGTATGGCGAAGGACGCTCCTCAAGATTTCCTTTCTCATATGCATAAACAACTCTTCCTTTGACCACATCTTGTTGGTGTATTTCATTGGAGCGATTTTCAGCACCAGACGTTCCACGTTGATGATGCTAAGAGGGCCTGTTCCTTTGAAACTGATGCAAATGGTAGCTTCTCCCATGTCAATGAGATTCCACAGCTTGTATTTGGAAGACCGTTCAACCATTTCAATAACACCGCTATCAGAAGTGGGACTCTTTCTTTCTTCACTAAACGAGACGGAGTCGTCAACGGTAGACGAAGCTATGCTTGCATGATCCGAGTTCTTTCTGCGAAGTGACAAAAAGTTCCTCTTGAGCTTGGAGACTGGATTAGAACCATGGGTTTGGGAAGATGTGATAGAAGACGACGATGAGCTTAGAACTGGCGAAAGTTTTGAGTCAAAACTCTCGGCATCCGAGTCAGAAAACAAACTAGCAACATCGCTGTCCGAATCCGCTTTGGTCTTTGCAGCGTCACCTAGCTCAAAGAACTTCGCAAGCTTCTTAGCAGTTGAATGGTCAATTTCCAAAATGATAGGTTGCAATCTGATCAAAGACTTGTCGATCACTCCAATGCCACCCACAGGCTGCAGGTTCCTCCACTCCAAAAACAGCATTGGGGGCAGCTTCTCACCTTGAACAGACTGCGCGTCTCTTGGAGACAAAATCTGAGGATACTTGCATCCTCCATGCAAGTCGAATACCTGTATGAGTCTGATGCTGATCTGGTTAGTACTAGAAGCATCAGGCGCAGCCAGCTTGGCGAAGAAAGTTTGTGCAATAGCGATATCCACAAAAGGCTTGTGTTCTTCGTCCAGGAGGTGTAGAATGATCTGGTCAAAGGTGATAACCGTTTTGGAAAGCTCCATATGCTCCACATCCAACAATGACTGGGCCTTCTGCAGAATCTGCATCGTAACAGAAAGCTCTAACAGAAGCTTTTCAAGCTCAATATCTATGATCAGGAGATCGTCGCTGTGTATCTTGGAATCTCCAGAATCGAGCATCTTCATCACCAGCTTGATCCTGTTCAGGATCCTCACTTCCTTCTGTAGAGTCTCCACCTTTTCGCTCATTCCAGTAAAATCGTTAGTCTCGGTTGCAGAAAGAAGCTTCTCCAGTCTGTTGGTGTTCTTCTTGATTTCGGGATCACTGAAAGCAAGCAAGTCATTGGCTATGTTGTAGATGACCTGGTACTGCTCCATGTCCATTATAATTGCAAGCTTGGGGAAAAAGGCCTGGAAGTACTTCATTGTGGATGCATTCGAGACATCATGACTCAAAAACAGAGGATTGGGCTTGTAGTAGATAAACCCAAATGATTGTTTTTCAATACACAAGGCAACAGTTAAAGCCGAACCATCATAGCACATCTCAATTGGCAATGAAGGTGGCCAGTTTTTTTCTTCGTCAAAGTGAAAGAATCCGTACTCTCTGTGGATCATCTTCTGCTTATCCAACACATAAACTAAAGCATCGTTCATTAGCAATCCGTATCTCGTTTGGATCAAATAGGCTAGATCTGATTCTCCACCAGCAGACCCATCCAGTTCGGAATCCCCACAATAAACCTTGACCACTTTCAAAGTCACATCTCTGGAGGCCAATAGTAGACACTTATCTGCATCTTTTTTGCTGATGAGGCGAATTTGTGGCGATATCAGTTTGACCAAATAGGTATCAAACACTTTGGCGTTTTCATGAGGATAGTCCTCGATGACATCGTCAAACTCATCAACACTTTCCTTTGGCGATCGAAATTCGTAATCCAAGTTGGATTTCGAACCGCAATTGGTTCGATCAGAAGAAGAAGCTTCTTTCATAAGCTCTTCGGCCAAAGTCACGGCCTTTCTGGTGAGGTAGAAGCATAAGCTCTTTCTCTCACTCACATTGTAGATGTAGCGCAACAATTTTTCACTCAACTCTGAATTCCAGCTCAGCAACATATTGTGAACAATAAAACGGTTCCAGAATGGAGACGAGTGACCAACTGAGGTCCTTCTCATGGAGATAAAAGACTCTTTGGCAGATTGCGTCTTGGACAAACGTAGAGCCTTGGAATCGGTGGAGTATATGGAGCCACTTCTAGTTGTGCTGAGCTCTCTTCCCAACTCCGATTGCTCGGTATCCAAACTGAACTCGTCTGCTTCTGGCAACATCCCTTCAGCCAAATCATCGAGGATGGAACGAATCACATGTAGCGAATGTTTCAAACTCTCCAATTGCCTATTCAAGTCGCGTATGCGATTTGTGGTTCCAGCATCCTTGATTCCGCTCAAGTGAAGCGAGTCCAGAGAAGACTCCACCACCCCAATTTCTTTCTCGATCTCTACCTGCCTTTGCCTAGCCAAAGTTTCTTGGGTTCGTTCTGGGTGGTTTTTTCCAATCAGACATTCATGAGACCATTCTTCTCCGAATGGATACTTGGTGTCAGGCGTAGGTGCTTGCCTGAAGTATGAAACTCTCGGCGATGACGCAAACGGAATGATCTCCCACTTGGGGTTATCTGATTTCAAATCAGGCTGCTCAATTTCTATAAAGTCGTCCAGATCCCACCATACATTCTTGTTCTTGGAAAAATCCGACTTTGAAGTGTATGAATCGTTTGTCTGAGAATGAGATGAGGACGAATCAATTCCAAATGCTTTAGCCAAGTACCCTTGCACTGCTCTCTCATTGAAAACAGCAGTGAGAAGTCTCAAGTCTGCCTCTTCCAAATCAAGCTCTCCTTGGTTCATCTTCAGGTGCCAGTCAGTCATGCACAATCCCAGCTCGTCTTTCACCAGCCTGAACTCCTGCTTTCTCTGATGAAGATCCATAGTAAATCTCTTAATTGCGCACTTCAGACCGGTGAAGGCCACTTTGTTGTCTGACTTGAAATCATCAGAAGAGGCATGGCGATATATGTGCGACAGAAATAGAGGCGCCAGATTGAGCTTATACTTTATTGTGAACATTGACTTGCCAAATTTCGGCTTCTTTCTGTAGTCTAAGTCCGGGTGTCTGAAGATTTTTCCCTCCTTTATTGGCAAGGATATCAGACTAAAAGATTCCCACCAAGCAAAGAAATGACGGAACAACATAGGCGATAGATGAAGCGAACTATAGGCATTGTCTCCCGAACTCTCCACCGAAATAGACATATGAATGTATCTGCTTTTGAATCCTCTGTAAGAGTCCCAAGACTTTCTCTCGATGTCAGAGTTGAATGTGCTTGGATTCCTCAATCTCACCTCATAGTGGGGTACTAGTTGAGACGTTCTTGGAGTGGTTCCAGGTATAACGTAGCCGTCAAGCTGGGTATCTCTCTCGAATAAAAATCCCATTTTCCAGACAACCGGAGCGGCATTCAATTTCATCACCTTTTTGTGTAGAGTGAAGTTAATTCCCTTCCCTTGGGTGTTTGCTAAAAGCCAATACTCTCTCTGAAGATTCGAAAAGTTCGGCACTCCGATTTCAAATTTGTTGCTTTGAACGACGAGGAACTCCTCGGGACTGGCTGAATAGTTGATTTTCAGATTCACACCATCTTGCCAGCTGAAGACAAACCCCGCTGCAGTTCCAATGAGATCATAAGGGCAAGCCGTACTCTTGATGAACAGGTTCAAATCACCGGTGAAATCAAAATTGAAACGGCCATGCATGTTCAAACGAAACTTGTCCCAGAATCCGATCTTTGGTGAAATATCCAAGGGTGGCTTGGATAGAACATCAAAGGCACTCATAGCATATCCTAGGCCTGGTTGGTATGATTCAGACCACGAAATAGAACTGGCAATATCGGAGTCCACCTTGATATGCATGTCCATATAAACCTTCACTGCTGTGAGCGTCCGTGGAACATTCATGGCATAAAGACATTCTTTCTTCTCTGGATCCTTGTATTGAGACACTAGCGAAACAAAGACCCATCTCAGCTCCTCGACTATCGCCATCTGTTCTGCAATGACAATATCACCGTTAATCAAAATCGGATTTTCTTTACCTGACACAAACGAAAGCATTGGCAAGGGGTAGTCTTTAACCCTCACATGCACAGTTTTGCATCTTATGCTCAAGTTCATTGGGATCAGAATTGAGTATTCCATGTCTGTTGGCATTCCGTCACCTCTGTCATGGAGAAACTTGGCGTAGTTATCAAGCTCAAACGATTGAGGGACATCTAGAACCAGCTCCAAGTTGGTGAACCTCGCAACAAAAAGGGGAAATCCTTCGTCTCGCTCAAATATCTTGAATCTTTCAAGCAACTCGGCTGAAGCTGGAACTTTCTTTCCCTGGTACTGCTCTGACAGATGATGTAAAGCCTGTGCTTTTTCTTCCTCTGATGCTTCAAACCTTGTTATCCAGGATCTGCTGATATTTGCGTAAAGCTTTCTTCTGGCTTTCTCTATAGTTTTCCTTGCCTCTTCCATTTCTCTGTACTCTTGATCGTGCTCGTTCTGGACCAACGGCATATTAACATTTGGATCGATCTTGATTCCAAGCACGGTCGACTTTAGAGATCTAACCTTCTGATGATTGTTTCCAAGTGGTGATGAGGCTGTCTTCTTCGCACCAGTGCCGTTGATCCTCTCCAGGCGCCGTCTTTCAACCTCTTTAAGAATAGCCTTTTCAGTTTCTTCAAATTTGGCCTGCTTTCTCATCCGGGAAAGTTGTTCAATTAAACCAAGTTGATAGATCCTGTTTAGCTTGACCTCGAAAGGATCATCCGAAAATAAGAAATTGAAAGCATCAGCTTCTATCCTTACCTTCGGCATTTTGAGAGGCTTCACCGGATGAGGCATAATCTTTTTCATACGGTAATTTTCGCTAGCATCAGGACTCATAAGGTCTTCAAAATTGACTGATATCTGTCTGGAACTCTTGAAAAACGATACAACGTTGTCCAAAGACTTGTACAACATGTATTCAAGTGGAACAGAAATGTTGATCATGGTTGCTTTGATAGCAGCAAACTCCTGGTCGGGATCTCCGTGATCCGAGAACACAAAAACATCCACGTGAGTGAGCTCCAGCAAAGCACTCCATCCTTTCTTGACAAAGGTACTAGGGACGTAAAGCCTCATCACCGAGAGACTCGAGTTGAAACCATGCGGTTCGGCGATAGATGATGGTGCCACCTTGAGTGTATCAAGTTCGATCAATAGCTCTTCCTCGTAAGGCAACTTCCAGTGGGCAATCAGCACCCCAAGGTCAACACTCCATGACATTTTGGGCCTGAGTTTGGCTTCTCCATTTTCATGTCGTTTTGGAGCCTTCGATATGAGTTTATGGTCTGGACTTGCTTCGGGTAGAACAGCAGAAATGATTGCCTTGACAAAGAGGAGCGTCCAGACGGTTTCAATGTCGATATTGAGCTCCACAACGGGCAATATCACATTCAGCTCTGTCAAGCGCGGACAAATATGTCCGACTGTTTTGGAGCACTTCACAAAAGGTGTTCGGCTAACTGCTCTCTTGGAGATATCGGTAATCAGAACCCCAATGAATGAGTTGAGATTTACATCAATCAGCTTGTCCTTCCTGAGCACAATATCCAACTCCTCAAAGGTCAACTCAAATCCACGGGCATATGAGTTAAGCTCTGTATAGTCAACATTGTTATAGAACTTGCGTGGGTTCTTGAAGGAAGCCAAGAACTTGCTCCGTTTGAAAGACAATCTGCTTTGCACAACGGAAACCAACTTTGGTTTTTTGGTCGTAGGTGAGGCAGTAGGTGATGCTGGGCGTTTGAGTTTGGACTCCGAAACTGCTCTAGAAACTTCAGCAAATGCAAAAAATAGGTCCACATCATCCAGCAAACACACTATATCATTAACTTCTGAGTTGAGGTTGTGGACCTCCAGCATATGATCATCGTTTGTATCTTTGGGAATTGTGACAACTGCTGTTGAGGATGCATTTTTAATGCTGAAAAATGAAGCTCTCGATTTATCATCCAAATAGTATGCGATAGAGATATGTCTTGTCTTCAGTGACAGCTCGATTTCGGGTGTATCTGCCGAACACTCTTCTGAGAACGTTGGTTCCGATTGCTGGTATTCTCCGAGGTCCAACGAAACCTCAGTCGAAGTGAAACTCAGAGTGAGTCTGGATGACATGTTTATTCTGAAGTCAGCGTTCAAAAAGTACACTCGGAGCTTGCATTTTTGGAGCAGCAGAAATAATTTCTTGGGTATTTTGCTCGTTCTGCTCGGAACTGGACTGTCAGTCTGGCTTTTGATATCAGGCGCATTTTCATGCATTTCAGTCAGGTTCCAGGCAAACGTTGGATTGTTAAAGGTGACTATTGTTCTGATAAAAGCGTCTTCTGTCTTGGCACTTTCATTCTCGAAAAAGTCCACAATGTGCAGGACGTCCACGTAGTTCAACATGCTGAAAAACGGAACGTACGTCATGTTCTTGGTTTGCGCCCCTGAGATCTTGAGGGAAGTTATCGAGGTTAACAGCTCGCATTTCCCACGGCTTCCAAACACGGCCAGACTCGAGTCGGAAAGTTTCGTAGAAACTGGGTTACCAGCACCCATTCCCCTTCCAACTACGTAGACCGACTGGACGGAAAACACGGTGGAGGATAACGATATAGAACACTCGTGAATACGGAGGACACACTCGGAGAAAGAATCCATGAATCGGTTCAACGCAGATCTGATTTTTGTGAAATCTAGGACTGCTTTCTCACTCGTGCTTTCGCCATTTTGGCCATTTCCACCATTTGCATTCGACCTCAACGTTCCCAATAGCGGAGTCAACTCCTCCAATTTGATATCCACACCAGAAAGAAACACATCCATATGTGTGTCTTTGATTGTAGGAGCTTCAGAAGTGTATTTTGCACGGCCTGAAATCAGCAGCTCAGTGAAGATCTTGACAGATGCAGAACTGCTGTCAGTTCCCACAGCAAGGTCCTTGAACGAAACAGACACCGTGGGCTGTTGATCATCTGTGAGGTCGAGAGTCGTTAAAAGTTCAATCAGTTCAATCTTTATTCCCGGAGCAAGCTCGACGGTTATATCTTTAATCGAAACCTGGAACGGAAATAGAAATCGCCTGAATTGAAAACACCGTTTCAGGATGGTGGCCAGAGCACCGGTTGAGTCTATTGATGAGTTCTTTTTCTGTTTATGTGATTTCTTACTGTTCGTGGTGTTCGAATCACCCAAACTAGGCAGCTTCACATAAACATTGCTGACATTAATGGAGATGAACTTGTCTCTTGCACTCACCTTTCTGAGCAAAGCCCTGAAGTTGACAGCTAATCCTGCTCTTCCAACAGAGACCTCCAGTCTATCTTGAGAAACGCAAATCCCTCCCAGCGATAATAGAGACCACCAACTAATCCGCACGCGAGAACTGACTCGATTGAGTGTGAACAAAACAGTGAGATAGAAACAAGCAAGGAGCACTGCCGCAGGCAAGAGCCGTGACAGCTCCAGAAAAAATTGCATTATAGTGCACGGTAACAATAAAAATCGCCAGAAGTGTCCCTTTAAATTATCTCCGCGCCTCCTCGGCCTCGTCTCAACCAATTGAGGATGATGTATTGGCTTGTTGCACTCTCAGGTGCGGGTCAAAGGCGGCTTCCTCGGTTCGAGTGACCGTGCGGCTTCCGGGCTTGACCCGGTAGAAAATGGCAGGTGACGAGTTAAGGAACCGGGCCTGGATGGCAGAACTTAGTTATTACGATAAATAGTACTCTTTTCATCGGATTGACTACAAAATATCGCGGACCAAAAAAAATAAACAACTAAAACGGAACAACTTTTAGGAGGATCCGCAGTGACAAATCCCAAACGCCCAACATAACAACCAAGAAAAGGGCACCTAGCCCATCTTTCTTTCTCAAACCTGCAAGATACCACTATCCATGAGGGCGTTGTGTATGATGGTCTCCTTCACCACGGCAAACGCGAGCTTTATGTTTGACGTGTCTGTGGCCTGGGTCACATAGGGCATGATATTGAGGTTCATCCGGTTGAGCTGTTTGAACCTCCACAGGATGTATTTGACGGCCTTATTGACGTCATTCCCACCAGCATAGTCGGGGAAATGAGCCTCCAAAGGCGAATGTGGCAGTTTCTCCACCAGGACATCAATCTTGTTCAAGAATAACACCACGGAGGTCCTTCTGAACCACATAGAGTTCACCACCGAGTCAAACAGGTTGAGAGACTCCTCCAGTCTGTTCTGGCCCTCGGATTCCAGCAACACCTGATCGTATTCGGACAGCGAAACACAGAACATTATCACAGCCACGTTATCAAAACAATGGATCCACTTCTTGCGTTCCGAGCGTTGGCCACCGACATCGTACAGATGGATGTTGATGTCTTCCATCTGAAACTTGATGTCGTAGATACCTGATGTCTGTTTTCTCGTCCGTAGGACATCTGTCACCGAGCAAACATACTTGGGACTGGTAATTCTGTCAATGCTGTCAAAGAAGTAACTGGCCGAATCCAGCAGATAAAACTCGTTTCTGTGCTCCTCAATCAGCTTCACCACCACCGGGTCGTTTATCAACTCCTTGATTTTCGCGCCTAGGGACTGGTCAAAAGGCAATTCACGCTCCATAGATATCTCGGTCGAATAGATTTGTTCCAGATCGTCTGCGTTCAATTCCGCCAGCTTATCTGCTAAACCAAAGTCCCGCAACGCCTTCACGATGGATTTCGCACAATCGCTCAGATTCTTGAATACAAAAGGCTTGTAGTCATACAGTTCTCTCTCAGTGTATCCGTTCTGGTGAATGATCTTGATTTGCTTTAAAATGGTAGACTTGCCGCTTTCTCCCGAACCGAGAAGGAGCATCTTGACCTCCTTCTTGGCCTTCTGATTATTCGACACAGACTTCCCGTGTGGCACAGTAGCCACTTGTTCTTGTTTGGCAGATTCATTTTGGTCGATTCCGGGCTTTTCTGCATTGTGGGAGGCCTCATATTTGGCAGAGGAGGCAATCTGGCCATTCTTCGGAGCGGACTGACGACGAGTGCTTGGCAAAGACCCGTTTGCCACGGCGTCCTCTTTGGAACCGCAGTTTCCCATGGCTATGGTATGTGATTGGTTATCTGTAGATAATTCTGTCAAGAACTCGCTTGATTTGAAGCAAAACTGAAAAACTAGGGGTAACGCGGCAATGAGGCAAAAGAGGTACGAGTGCGATGACTCAAAATCAGGGTCCTCTGGCAAAGGTTCGAAAAGCTAGAAATAACAGCAATAATGACACGCTCTCAAGCAATTGCAATCTCTCCGGTCTGGAGGCTTTTTAAAACGTCGAAATCCAAGCAGGACTGGTATGATTGTGGCTATGAGCTGGAACCCTTTCAGCTAAAAGACATGTCAATCGGCCTGCTCCCTCTTTCAAAAACCCTTCTCCGTTGCAAGGTTTTTTGGTGCAGATCCACGACCCCGCCCGCGGCGAAACGAAAGATGATTTTATTTGGTTGCACCACTACTACATTTTTCTCTATGTTATCATTCTTATTATATTATGGATTAAACATTGAACTCTCGTTCAGTTCATTTTCTGTCGTTGAGTGGTTCTCGTCGCGGCAACCTAAACGGGCTTGCCGCCGATGAACTCGCTCCACCTCCGGACCTCTTCGGGGATCACGACGTGGTCCTCTTTTTGGTTCAGCTTGGAAGCGATATTCTCCTTCAAAGCCTTGGCAAACAGAAGGGAGGTCTGGGGCTCGTTGAACAAAGGAATGGCAAAGTCAATGGCGTTTCTTCTCATGACATAGTCTTCGTCCAACAAAGACTCGGCACGGGCACGAGCCAGGTTGAACACGCACTGGATATCGTACTTCTGGAACACTTCTCTGAGCTTGCGCTTGTCTGTCTTGGGGAACTCAATCACTTGGACCTCAGTGCCCTCACTAATATACTGCTTGAGGTAGTCAGCCACCTCAGCGGACGTGGTGTAGAGCTTGTAGCCAATTGGCGAGATGGTCTTGGCAACCTCTCCCAGGTACTCCTGGGTCAGGTCACCACCAAACAGGATACCACTTGGTGGTTTGGGCAGATGGAAGTTCATTGTAGACTGGATAGAAGTCCAGTAGGCCTCGGTCAGGTTCTTACCAAAACAGGCCACTTCTCCGGTGGAAGCCATTTCGACTCCGAGGAATGGGTCGGCTCCGGCGAGACGTGTGAAGGAGAATTGAGGCACCTTGGTCGCGACATAGTCGTAGTGTTTCTTCATAAGGTCAACGGGCTCGGGTATGTCCTTTCCTTCCAGGGCTTTGACGGCAACGTCAATGAAGTTGACGCCGAGAACTTTGGAGACAAACGGGAACGATCTGGAGGCTCTGATGTTACACTCGATAACCTTGAGGTCGGGGACTTCAGGGTTCTCTGGGTTCTGGGCCTTGATGATCTGCATGTTGAAAGGTCCGGTGATTTTCCAGGCGTGGGCCACCTTGTCGGCGATCTCCTTCAAGCGTGCCATGATCTCTGGCGAAAGACTTTGTGGAGGAAGCACCAAGGTGGCGTCTCCCGAATGGATACCGGCATTCTCCACGTGTTCGGAAACAGCGTGAACAAGCACCTTTCCGTTGGCAGCAACGGCATCAATGTCGATTTCCTCGGCACCCTCAATGAACTTGGAGATCACTACTGGATATTCCGACGAAACCTCGGCCGCATTGCCTAGCTTCTCGGCAAGTTCGGACTCGTCACGGATTACAGACATGGCCGCACCAGAAAGAACGTAGGATGGGCGGACCAAGACCGGGTAACCCACGGCCTGAGCAAACTCTTCAGCCGCACTGATGGACGTAAGCTCTTTCCAAAGAGGCTGGTCAACGCCAATGGAGTCCAAAATCGAGGAGAATTTGTGTCTATCCTCGGCCTTGTCAATGTCTTCAGGGTTTGTTCCCAAGACCTTGGCCCCGTTGTTTTGCAGAGTCAATGCAATGTTCTGAGGCAGCTGGCCTCCAACAGAAACTACCACGCCCTTGGCGTTCTCAAGTTCGTAGATGTCCATGACTCTCTCGAACGAAAGCTCCTCGAAGTACAGTCTGTCAACTTCATCGAAATCGGTTGAGACGGTTTCCGGGTTGTAGTTGATCATGATGGTCTTCTTTCCACTGGCCCTCAAGGCTCTTGCGGTCGAAACAGCACACCAGTCAAACTCCACGGAAGACCCGATTCTGTACACTCCAGAACCCAGAACCATGGTTCCGTATTCGTCGAACGTCACGTCACTCTCGGTGGCATTGTACGTGGTGTACAAATAGTTAGTATCAGCAGGGAATTCAGCAGCCAAAGTGTCGATCTTCTTGACGAAAGGAACGATGCCAAAGGACTTTCTTCTGGCACGGACCTCCAGCTCCTTGGAGCCAACAGCAATTCCGATTTGCTTGTCAGAAAAGCCGAGCTTCTTTGCTCTGGTGATCACATCCTGAGTCAAGCCGAAAAGAGACCCGATCTGCTCCAGTTCCTTCTGCATCTCCACGATGTTCATAAGCTTGTACAAAAACCATTTGTCGATTCTGGAAAGCTCGTGAACTCTGTCCACAGTGTAGCCTTCGTGCAAAAGAGCTTGACCAACAGCCAACCATCTCCGGTCGGTAGGGTTGGCCAGGGCGTCGTCCAGGTCTTCGAACTCACCGCCTTGGAAACCAACGAAAGATGGGTCTACCTGTCTGATAGCCTTCTGGAAAGACTCCTCAAAGTTTCTACCAATAGCCATGACTTCTCCGACAGACTTCATCGAGGAACCGATATCTCTCTTCACGTGCTGGAACTTGGCCAGGTCCCATCTTGGGATCTTGGTGACCATGTAATCCAGAGAGGGCTCAAAGTTAGCAGAGGTGGTCTTGGTGACTGGGTTGGGCAATTCAGGCAGGGTGTGGCCAAGAGCAATCTTGGCAGCGGTGTAGGCCAGAGGGTAACCAGTGGCCTTAGAAGCAAGAGCAGAAGATCTGGACAAACGGGCGTTCACCTCAATGACACGGTAGTCGAGCCCATCGGGCTGCAGGGCATATTGCACGTTACATTCACCAACAACACCCAAATGACGGATGATCTTGATAGCAGCGGATCTCAGCATGTGGTATTCTTCATCGCTAAGAGTCTGGGATGGAGCAACCACAATGGAGTCTCCGGTGTGAATTCCAAGAGGGTCGAAGTTCTCCATGTTACAGACGGTGATACAGTTTCCGACACGGTCACGGACAACTTCGTACTCCACTTCTTTCCAGCCCTTGAGCGATTTTTCAACCAAAATTTGAGGAGCCAGAGACAATGACTGAGAAGCAAGGTTGTGCAGCTCTTCCCTGTTATTGGCGAAACCAGAACCGAGGCCTCCAAGAGCATACGCGGATCTTACAATAATAGGATAACCAACGGACTCGGCAGCAGAAAGAGCATCATCCACATTGTCAACTGCAATAGACTCGGCAGTCGGGATGTTAATCTCCTTCAAAGCCTGGGCAAACAAATCACGGTCTTCACTCGTCTCGAGGGTCTTGATTGGAGTACCCAGAACCTTGACGCCATATCTGTCAAAGACACCCATCTTGTCCAATTGAACACCCACGTTCAGACCGGTTTGACCTCCAAAAGTCAGAAGAATTCCATCAGGCTTTTCCCTCTCGATAATGTAGGTGATGTACTCGGCGGTGACCGGGAGGTAGTAGATCTCGTCGGCCAGAGCATGGGAAGTCTGGTTGGTGGCGATGTTTGGGTTGATCAGAATCGACTGCTTGTTGGCCTCCTTCAAAGCCTTGATGGCCTGAGATCCGGAGTAATCGAACTCACCGGCTTGGCCGATGGAGAGTCCACCTGAACCAATGACCAGCACCTTAGAGACATCCACCAATTGATGGGCGTTCTCGTCGGTAAAACCGGACAGGATTCCTGCACCTGCGTAGGTGGCCGCCTTTTTGACCTCGGTCGAGTAGTGAGAAACTTGCAGGAACTGCTTGGAAAATAACGACTGCTGCTTCGCGGCGTTCAGATTCCTTCTTGACAGAGACGCAAGAGTTACACCGGCCCTTGGCAGAAGGGCCTTAAGATGCACAACTCTGGCAACCATGTTTAGAGTTTCTTAGCACCAATAATATTTCTCCAAACAGAAGTGTCCAAAGAGAAGATCAAAGATGTTCTTGGGAGAGAAGAAAACACAAAAACGTTGAAGAGGGCAGTGATTTTTTCTGCACCCGATAGAGTCATTGGGTGAAAAATTGTCAAAAAATCTTTCGAGGTCACGTGATCGCGCTTAAGTCTGGGCCTACCGAAAGCGGCAATTTCGTCACCGCGCTAAACTTAACCGTGACTCAGGTTGTGGAGACGGTATATTGGGTGAACAAGGGTTTGCTTTATTGAAAAGTAGAAGCCTGTCAAACTTGTGGCTTATCACAAGAGTTGATGTCGGCGTGTAGCAGGCACCTGGAACAGGTATCTGGATCGGAGGCTTGAATGTTGGGGTTAATCTCGCTATTATCTCACCGGTCTCTCATACTTAAGATCATTCTCGAGTTTACATTGGGCTTCTCCGGTGTAAATCTGGCTCACCTTCTACAATAGAATCTTACGTTTGGACTGCTTCGCGCAAAACAATGTTTGGGATGCTGTATATGGCTCTCTAACAGCAGTACACCGGAGTAGCGCACTTTTCACACTTGCGCGGTATTTTTTTTGTCTGTGGGTAGGTTGGTGCTTTTTCTAGTCTTATTTGACTGGTCCATTGCCTGATCATCCTGCCTAGTTCTAATCCCTCTTCCATCTCACTTGACGAGGCTGTGGAGCATAGTAAATACCGCCCACTGCCAGTTCCGTATTCCAATGATCGATATATGAGATCAACGCTGAAGACAGCGCGATTTCTCTAGGGATCTTAGTTTCGTCAACTTTAAGAGTGAAACCAGCACCTGCGGCAGGAATTACCTGTCCAATCCGCTCACGAATCTCACTCTCCTTCTCTCCCAGGTTGGTCACCTTTTCCAAGAACTTGCCTGAAGTGGTCCACTGATAGGTTGCTCCATCCGCCAATGTGAAAATTCTGTAGCTATCAATGGCATCCACTCGGTGGCCAATAACGTGCCAACCCAACTCGGCGTAAGGCACTTCAGGAGCACGAATGAGTAGTACGTTCGATCTCAGACCTGCTCTCAAAGTCGCCACAGGTTCATCTATCCCATCAGTGCCAGTTCCTGAAATTGCAGAGCTGTACATCTTGTAAGCACCCTTGACAGCTCTCGAACGAACAAACCAAAACACGCGCTGTGACCCATCCGCTGGCCCCAATGGACCAGTCTCCTTTCCGTGGGTGTCGAAAACGTCAAACACCTTGGATCCCGTACCAAACCGTCTTCTAACAGCATACTCAGAGACATCCTCCTTGAGTTCGACGATGTTGGGGATGTACCGAGAAGCTCTTCGATGAGGGTGAAACAGCAGGGCCTTTGCCTGGACGACTGGTCTCATGAGAGGAGAAAGTACTAGCTCGACTGGCATATTGGAAACACACTCAAAAAAGGGGCTTGAAATTGCAACAGCAAAGAAAGTAGCAAAGAGGAAAAAATGACACGAACAGGGAAGGTAGGTTTTAAAAACTGCACTGCAACACGAGGTTTGTGGTATTAGAGTCGTGCGCGGCCCCCGCCCACTTTTCTTGTGCCGGGTCGTGCGGCTCTTTATTCTGTGAATCTTTTAGAGTTTCAAGTTCTGCATATTTGATATGCAAAGGGTACCGTGCATAAATGTTCTGGTCTTTGCAACTACAAAAATACTGAGTTGCAAAAAACAGGTCTAAACCTTTTCAGACCCAGCCATATATCAAGGTCTCGAGGTGCACAAAGAATCAAATGAGATTCCCTAAGTTGACATCTATGTAAAGTCAAACATAACCGTGAGTAAAACAGCTTTGTCTTAGGTTTTCGCAAAGCACTCTCAAAAGATTTATTTACAATGTGAATATGTGAATATGTGGTTTGGGCAGCTTTCAGGTCTTTAGTGTCTCCAATTATGTCACGGATGTAAATCTACTGTGTCAGTAAAATTCTCATCTACGAAGACTCGTTGATAATCTAATATTCAATAATAATAAACAGATTTAAAGAAGTAAAGTCGGAGTGCATAATATTAGCGCCAATAGAAGTCGAAAAATAAAAAAAGGAAAGCCTTGGTGCGTGGCGGAGAAAAAGAAAATGGCTCTTTAAGAGCCAGGAATGAATGAAGAAGTTGGGTGTTTTTCAGATTAGTTCATGAGCAAAAATGAAGAACAAAGGATGAGGGCTGACAAGAAACCGAAAGCTGGGGAAGAGTTGCTTCCGGAGCCTTCGAGAACAGTCGCACCCGCACTTGATTGAGCGGCTGCACTTGCTGATCCTGAACCAGAGGCCGCAGAACCAGAGGCCGCAGAACCAGAGACTGCGGAAGCAGAGGCTGGAGAGCCGCTGGCAGATACCGTCAATGTGACCACCGAAGTAACGTATGAGAGCTCAGCAGTTTCAATGGCAGTAGTCATGGTCTTAGACGTACCCTTCGTGACTGTCGAGAAAACGATCGTCTTAGTGGTCGAGACGTAAGTGTAAAAGTTGGTTGTGGATGTGACTGTGTGAACAGCTTCAGATGTAGAAGCTGCTCCTGCAGTAGCAGTAGCAGTCAATGGACAATAGGTGGTGTATACTGTCTCCACTTCTTCAATCGTTGTGGTAACAGTTGTCAATCCAGTAGTGGCAGTGGAAGTAGAACATTCACCTCCTGCGCACTCAGTCACTGTAACAACTGTAGTCTCTATTGGCAGCAACAATCCTGATGTGGTAGCTTCAGCTGTCAATGGGCAGTAAGTGGTGTATACTGTCTCCACTTCTTCAATCGTTGTGGTAACAGTGGTCAATCCGGTGGTCTCCACATTCGTGGCACACTTGTTATCAACACACTGAGTTACGGTAACAACAGTAGTTTCAATTGGTTCAGCAGTAGCAGCTCCGGTGGCCGTCAATGGGCAATAAGTAGTGTAAACTGTTACCTCTCCTCCAATGGTGGTGGTGACAGCCACGGCGCCGGTGGTTTGGGCCTTCGTGGTGCAGACTCCGTCACTACAAGAGGTGATGGTCACCACGGTGGTGGACACATCATTCACTGTCGAGACGGCGGTGGTCAATGGGCAGTAAGTTGTGTAAACAGTCTCTTCGCCAGAGATTGTCGTGGTGATTTCGGTCACACCAGTAGTCACTGTGAATGGATGACAGCTTCCGTCTCTCTTACATCTGGCAACAGTAATCTCTGTGGTACTCTGCTCAGCAGCACTAGATGAGGACGAAGCGCTCGTGATAGAGGTTGTCTCACCGTTAGAGCCAGATCCAGAGCCGGAGCCCGAGCCGGCAGCACTGGAAGTGGTAGAGGCAGTGGATGACTCTGAGACAGAAGTACTGTCAGAACCTGCAGTTCCAGAAGTTGCAGGCGAAAACAGTGAGGTAGAAATAGACTCACTGTTCACACCAGATCCAGATCCACCAGTCGCAGAAGAGACAGAAGAGGAAGAAGTTCCGGTACCGGAGCCTGCTCCACTAGGCTTTGAGCCTACGGGGGTACCAGAGGCCAACCCAGCAGAGCCAGAAGTCAAACTTGCCGAAGAGGACTCAGATGAGCTTGATCCAATGGAAGATGTCAAATCTAAAGAAGCAGTCGTTGAAGCTCCAGATGAAGCTCCCACGGTGGA